GTTTTAGGTGTTGGTTATTGAAGGTATTTCTACATTCTTGAAGTTGCATGTGTTGGATTCTTCTGAGATTACAGGTTTTGGTGAAAATGGTAAAGAACATGTGTGTTCTGTCACCAATGGTTGAGCCCTTTAAAAGGGCTGAACCCTTTGGAGGCAACGTGCAAGGAGAGGATTCCCTGGAGGCAAAGGGCTGACCCGTTGGGAACGGCTGAGCGCTTTGGGGAAACAACTGATCCCTTTGGGGCCGCGAGCCACAGAAGAATTCCTGGAGGTGAAGCGATGAGCGCTTTGGAGGCGTTGAGCACTTTTTTTATTTCAGAATTTGACTTTGGGGTCTTCATAAAAGTTGTAGCCTTGGATTTTAGCTTTCCAATAGCGTTTGAATCACCCAAAAAGAAGGTCTAGAACTCCAGATATGGCTGTTTTAGTGAACAGGGGTCAAGCTGTCAGCATTAGTTATAGTTGTTGCGGTTTTTGTACGTTTTGACCAAGTAGACGGTGAAATTAGGACTTAATGTCTTCATAAGAGTTGTAGGAACTTCTTATCTTTCATATGAGATAAGAATGAGCATGATAGGAATACTATAACTCCCAATATGTTGTTTTCTGCGTAGGTTGTCATTTCACAATAAGTGATTTGGTTAAGTTGAAAGTTGTTTTGGGTGCTTAGGTTGATTTATGTTGTTTATTTGTGTAAGTTGGGATGATATATGATTTTTAAACATGTTAGATGATCTGTATTATGTGTTGAAGTTGTTTATAAGGTTGCAAAGTTGCTAAGTTGCCTGATGAAGATGAGTTGAGTAGTTGTTGGCTTATGTTGTTTATATGTTGTGTATTTGATGAAATTAAGTTGTGTACATGTTGTTTATCGTTGGATTATTAATAATTCACGGTGTATAAGTTGAAGTAGTTTATTATTTTAAAGTTGTTGAGTTGATTTAAAGTTATCAAGATGACTGTTGTTGTAAAGCTAAATGAAGGATGTCTATAGTTGTGAATTCGAAAAGTTGACATTGTGATGACTATAGGTGCTCAATTTGTTTATTCAAGTTGATATTATGATGCCTATTGTTGTAAAGTAGTATAAAGATGTCTATTGTTGTAAAGTTGTATAAAGATGCCTATTATTTTAAAGTTGTAAAGTTGGGGACATATGGTGAAGATATATGTCCTATGTTGAGATACATAGTACTAAGGTGATGAGTTGAAAGTTGTTTTAAAGTTGAATTCCTTAGTATTGTGTGGGTGACATGGAAGTAGTCGATCCATGTCATGGGTGAATGACCAATTTGAGTAAGGTATCTAGTTAGAGATGTAGTCTTTGACTAGATACTGGAGGGTGCGTGGTACTTGGAGGGTAGTGGGTGGGCTAACTCCATATGCGGATTGGCGATGCAAGCCAAGGCCGTGGTAGGCCTATACCCAAACCCTTCTGCCCTGACAGTAGTATTGAACCTCTGAGTCTAAGTGGCACACCTAAGCAATCGCCTATTGTTGTCTATACCTGGTTCTCTTTGGAGTTCTTAACAATGCCCTATACCTGACTTGGTTGAGATAGGTCAAATGTTGGATTCGGTAAAGTTTATGCCACCTAGACTACTCAACCTCAGTTGTTGGAGATCTCCTAGTTGTATATGCGTGACGATGCATTAGTTGATGTTGCATGTCTTATTGCATTCAAATTGCATATAATGTTGTATGAATGAGTTGATAGTTGAGCAATTATGATAAAAACTATGTGGTTGTGTTGTGATGATGAGTTGTTGATCACTGGGACTAGATGAGAAATTTTCGAAGTTACTTATCTCATTGTGCGGATTGAGATAGTTGTGGTGCTCTAAGAGCCCAGTTTATTAAAAAACCCTCCTTGGGAAGTTGTCCCTTGGAGTGGATGATGCGTTGTTCTCCTCTAGGACTTAGTTGGCCCATGTGTGGGCAAGGTCAAGGTGCACGTGTATGAAGCGACCATGGTATAAGAGACAAGCCGAGCTATACTGATTACAAGTGGCCAATTTGAGTAAAGTATGACGTGTTGAAAATGTTGTTGCTATTAGATGATGATGTATATCTATTGTTGTATGTGTTGTGTTGCTTTAGGTTGCAAGTTGAAAGTTGAATATTATTGATATTTATTACATGTTGACGTTTTTTTTTATTTTTATAATTATTGTTGTGAGCTTACTCTAGCATGTTTTCCCTTGTGGTTAGGGACTGCGATGACCATACCTTGGTATGCGAGCAGATCAAGATTAGGTGCTCTACTGGACTGGGTGAACTTCTTTTTGGTTGGGACTCAAGGAGGAGGGCTAACGTTGTATTTAGTTGATTCGTAACATTTGACTACCTAGTTGTTGTGTAGGGTATTATTCCCTACTTTCAGTTATATATATTATGAGACTTTTTAGTTGTGTATTCTCATTGTATATACAATTGTTTAGTAGTAATATTTTATTTTATGCTTGTATCTGAACGCTATAGACAATGCGAGACCTGGCGAGTCGTTACATATTTTACCATATATTTTAAAATATATAATATAATTATAAATATAATATCATGTTATACAAAATATTTTTTATTAAATTAATTTTTTTTATTATTAATGCACAATTGTTCAAGAAATTTATATATTTTAAGAGAATATAGGACATCAAACTAAATTGAGATGATTTGAGGCATAACTTGAACTTGTCCTCAAAATGCATCAACCTTAAATTCAAAACTCAAACCTATCAAAATCAACTTTGAGTCAAACTAGATTAATAAGGTGAGTTAAGTCATGGATTTGAATATAAGATTATAATCTTGAATTAATTTTCTTATGAGTATAAGTTTAAATGAGTTTTCAAGAATTCACAAAGGTGAGGACAATTGTCACTATTTAAAAAAAAAATACTTATAGATGTGCTTGTAAATCCACCAATTAGAGATGTAAGTGGATATGGGTCAACCCACAAATTCAATAATCTTGCCCAACTTACATTTCAACAAGTTGAGTTGAATCATTGGTTCAATTTAGATTCATTTTGACTAATCCAGTTGGGTTGGATATTTGGTTGATGAATTCCAAACTTAATTAACCTAACTCAACCCAAAGTACATATAATAATAAGAATAAATTAATAGCTTGACACTTGTATTGTATATTTGTTATGATAGTATTGGGTTTGGATGATTTTTTGTAAAAAAATTTCTCTGTTTTTAATCTTTTAAATTTATAAATTTTTTTGTCCTTTTAAAATTAGTAATTTTTAATTTTGGTCACATCAAATACTTTTCTTTAATTTTTAATTTATAAAAAAATTTAAAGTTAATAATTTTTGTTTCTAACTATTCAAAGAAAAATAAATAATATTTATTTTATAAATCTATAAAAATTTTATAAATATTACATTGACACGATATTACAAACAATTATAATAATAATTACTTAACCTTTTAATATCATTAAATAATAAAGATTATAAATAATAATTTTTAAATTTTAGAGAGATAAAATATTGTTCTTTTTTTTACTGAAACTAAAATTAAAACTGATTTATTTTGCAAGAATTAATAATATATTTAAATGTAGATTTTATATATTTTAAAATACTTTTTGTAACATTTTTTTTCTTTGTGGTTTTCTTCATCACGAATTAAAATATTTAAGTTTGATCTGTTTTTCATCCGGGAAAATACAATCATGAAGATATGAAGATATGGTTCTAGTAAGTTTTATTGAGCATTTTTTTTATTTAGATTACTTTTCATTTTTTTACAAATTAATTCACAAATCTTAAAATTACATATGCAAATTAAAAATAAAAAAATCTATACATAAAAGAGTAATACAATGAAATTTAAAATTAAAAAAATTAATTACAAATGCTTAAAATATGTGATGATTTGCTCGCTCACACAAATGCGTGCACATAATGTTTTTTAAAAATATGTATTTAGTCATTATTATATATTTTTTAAGATAGTTTAAATTGACTTTTTCTTTATTTTGTTCTTAAAATTTATTATTTTAGTTTTTATAATATTCGATTCATTTTGAGTAAGTTCTTATGAAATAAATTATTCACATATTACAAAGATAAAATGAAATAAATAAATATATTATAAACACTAAAATAAATAATAATGTCCAAAATAAAAAAAAAACGAAAATTTTACAAGAAATCATTTAAAAAATAATTTTATAAAAACTACAATAAAAATATAATATATTGCATGAATCCAGAGTATATTTAAGTTTATTAATTTTTATTTACAATATCTTTTTAACTTTGATTATAACTGTTTTAAAAATTATATTAATCACAGTTTTTTATTGGTCATAAAAATATTCTTTAACTTGTATGTTACTATTTTCCTCAAAGTGAGTTAATAAATGAATGATGATGTCATTGCACTATTGTGTCACCGTCTATCCCCTTTGCGATTATCTGAACCTAATAATAATAAAAATAAAATAATAACGAAAATCAAACTTTATTTTATTTTATTTTTTTAATGTTTTTTATTTATTTCCCTTTTACTTCACTATCTCGATTTCTCGCCGAGTTTTTATTGTTCCGATGCGGCAAAGCGGAATGCTGAAGCCGCCGTCTCAACCCGCCGCCGGTGACCTCTGTTGCTGATTCCACGACACCGTTTTGGTACTTCCAATTCATTCGTTTCTTCTTTGAATTTCATCTTTTCAAAGTGAAGGGAACCGACACTGTTGAATCTATCTTGTACTATTTTATTTTATTTTATTTTATTTTATTTATTTATTATTATTATTATTTATTTATTTATTTTTATTTAGCTAGACCATGGGCGTGTGGATTAACTATCACGGATTTGTTTTATTTCAGGTAGTATCTTGAGTCCAATATTGAATATACAACTAGAGTTAAATATTAATTCATGGTTTAACTATCTTATAATTTCATTTTATTTCTGTTTGCCTTTATTTCTGTTTTTTTTATTGCTATAAAGATTAAAAGGTAGAATTTATGAAATTATAAAAATTAAAAAGACACAAAAATGTTATGTAAATGAAATATTTTAATTATAGGGATTAAAAAGTAAATTCATGAAACTATAGAGAACAAAGAGTATTTAAACCATAATTCTAATATCTGTTTCTACTTTCTAGTAGGATTGCACCACAGAATACTGGTGATGGATAAAAAGAAAAATACAAAATTAGCTGTCACCGGTGATTCAATTTTGTGAAATTGGGATTGTGTGTGTGTGAGAGAGAAAATTGCATGCTAAAATGTGTTTTGGGTGTGGTTGCCTTGAATCTGAGATCTTCTTTGGCCATTTTCCATATGGATTTAATATATTTGTTATTTGGTTTTTAACCAAGCTCTGGGTTGTGTGATCATGTAAGTTGACTTGACTTCACCAAACAGCTGACCTCATCTAGTGGGATAACACTATTGTTATTTCTTTTCCTTTTGTGACAAATCAACAGGAATTGTTTAAAATTTCATAAAAGAAGGTAATTTATCCCAAACTTGTTCTGGATAATGATTTTGAACTGTTCTCATAATTTTGGTCAGATACAAAAGCCTGATTCCCTGTGTACTGTTTTAGCTGTTTGAACTTTTGTACAACAGTTTCAACACATTATTGGAGGATTAAGAAACAGGGGGAAGTCTTAAAGTGGTGGTAGTATGCTTGTCCTAGTCTTAGTGTATTACAAGTATGCATCTTCACTGTAATGTGTCTTTGTTGTCATGCTAACATTGAATGTGTTCAACTGAGCTCATTCTATCTTTTAATAATTGAGTGAATAAGTGGAATGGAAAATACTTTACAAAAAGATGTTGTAGAAAATAAATAGATCATAAAAATCAACATGACTGTGCCGATAAATAATTAATTTTTGGTGAAAGGCTATATTGAAATAGTTTTCTGGTGAGCCGATGAGCCGAACTGATGTTATTGACAGTTGAAGGGGGAGGATTCTTCTCTTCTTCAGCTTCAGGGTATAGTAAGGGTCTGATCCTTCTCCTCTTGGGTCAGAGGAGTGAAGATACACCCATGAGAGTTTTTCCCTGGAATCAGTTCCGGTTGGTAGGCCAAGAATCTGACCACGAGCTCCAGCTGGCTTCCCGAAAGAACCGTCTCTCCAGTGGGTGTGCTTCCTTTGTTTGCTTTGGTCACACCTCTGCAACGCTTGACACTCCATCTCATCTTAAAGTAGGTCCTGCCAAACATCATGATGTCTCTTCTGGAACACTGGTTTTCAACAAGGGCAACTATCCTTCTGCTGATGTAAATGATGATAGTAGAAAGGTTGCACCTAAAAGCAGCTTAAAAAGACAAGAAAACAAAAAACCAGCTCCTGTTGGGGCTGCTACTGAACATGAGGAATCAGGTGGAAAGGGGAATGATGCTCCTTATCAAACAGAGAAAAGGAAAGTGCAGTGGACAGATGCTTGTGGTAGCGAGCTTGTTGAAATACGAGAATTTGAGACAAGGTATTTGAATATTTTATTTTCTCTAGTGACTATATATATATATATATATATATATTTTCCTGTTTCTGTGTTCTGTGAGATTTCTTTCTGTGTGATAAATTGCAAAATTTGAAAGTTCTTATCTTGTGTGTCAAATTTTATCACTAGGAACTCCTGGTAGGCTGGTAATTTATTTTGTGTGACTGCTAGTGGATCATATATGCTTGTACATCTTTCGCTTCTTTCTTTTATTCTTGCTGATCTAAATATCTGATAGAGTGATAGTTATTGTTACCAAAGGTCTAAGAAACGTTTAGCAATTTGGCTTAGGACTTTAAGTGAAAATGGTTTGCATTTTTGTGAGGCAAAGTGTAAGCTGATTTCTGATTAGAGCAGGCATATAAATGGCTTCAGTTTTCAGGCACGTATTCTGAACCGTAAGAAGCTTTATGTTTTGTTCTTTTCAAATTCTATCAGGTGCAACTTACACTGTTCCTGAAACTAGTTTGAAATTTGAAGAAGCCTAACCGATATAACCTTGGTTCAGATGATTAAATACAGCTACATTATTTCCCAATCCATTTGAATAGTAATCTGATTATTCTTAAGAATCAGATTTGCTTATTCTTCTATTAGTGAATTCTGATCTTGTGATAAGTTGGAGGCCCCTTCCCGCACCATGTGCTCTCTTCTCACTCACTGACTTCCACATTTTGAAGGGTTTCCCCATTGAACATTGGTATATATGGACTTCCCTTAGATGCAATAAAAGGTCAATGGCAGTATATGAACAAGGAAGTCTTTCATTGAATAGTATAATACTTATAGTAGTGGTGTTCATTTTTGTATTTCCAATTTCCATAGTTCCACTCAATGCTTAAATTGATTTATATTTCTTCTTTGAGTTCTCTTTGGAAGTTTCCGACCACTTGTATGTCCTTTCATTTTTCAGTTTACTAAATAATCAATTGGATTAATACTAAAATTCTATTTGGTTAGTAGTTTTCAAATTATAACTCGGTATAATACATTCTTGGGTAATCAATACCTAATTAATTAAATGATATGTTTCATAAGTCTCAGAATTTGGACCTAGGACATAATTTAACCCTACAAAACTGATTTGTATGATAAGGATTGTTGAAGTTTTATAAGCACTATTTAGGCCCTATCTCTAGTTGATGTATAATCTTAACCCCCTAAGATTTGACATCTTAGCAGTTGCACGCTAAGGGCTCCACTTAGCCTTTATAGTCAGTCATTTTGTAGGTAGTCCTATTTGAGAAATGACATCGAATATTATAGACTCCAATTAAGTTGTGCTAGGTGACTCCAATAAAGGCAACTTTCCATCACACCCCCTCATGCCTAGGATTACAGGTCTTGAATGTTGCAATGCAGGTGATCTAACTGGATCTACGATAAACTTTGATAACATATTAAGAATTGAGCTTAGGACCTAAGTTCTAACTTAACTTTACAATATTGACTTGTATAGTGAGGATTTTTCAAGCTTTATAAAAATTGTTTTATCTCTAATCGATGTGAATCTTAACCCCTAAGAGCTAGTGTCCTAGTGGCTGCACACTACAATGTTAGTCAGCCTTTCTGGTCAGATCCTTCATAGGTAGTCCTTTTTGAGACATTGGCAACCAATTGTTAGGATCCAATTGCAAGGTGTAGGACTTGAGTCCCACATTGAAAGTATGGGATTCTAGTGTGGCGTTTATAAGCTTTTGGACTCTTGAACTACAATAACTAGCTTTTGTCGTGTGATTCTCTAAAGGTTCTTATCAATTTGAATCAGAGCCTTCCACCATGTTTCTCACCTGCAAACGAGTGGCACAGGTGGTGACTTCGTCATTGCAGTGTTTGCCCAAGACTAGTCAAAGGGACTAGTCCAAAACAAGCCTGTGCGGGTGTCGGGATTGCAGAACTTGATGGGATGTTAGGATCCAATCACAAGGTATGGGACTTGAGTCCCACATTGGAAGTATAAGATTCTAGTGTGGGGGTTTATAAGGTTTTGGACTCTCCAACTACCATAGCTAACTTTTCTGGTGTGGTTCATCCAAGGTTCTTATCACCATCTCTAATCTCTAATAGTTTGCCTTGCAATTAAGGCGACTAGGGTAATCGCAGTTAAGGCTGTTTTCCTACAAGGCATCCTTCTTTGATATTTATTTTTCTAATTTGATACTTTCTGCATTTTGCTGGTGAAATCAGAGCCCTGGGTTTTTTTATGATTCCCATAGTATATTTCAGTTCTATTAGAACCACAATTAACAGTCAGGTAGGAGAGATTTTTTTTTTTTTTTTTTAATTATTTAATGCAGATTCAAGGAGTTAACCTCCTCCAAAGGGTCTCACCTTTACATCAAAGTAGCTGCTCAGTATTCCAATCCTACCCCCTAAAAAGATGCCTTCCCTGAGTACAATTTCTTTTGTATATCCCTCTTCCCCTAAGTAACCCTTTTTAACCAACTTACCTCTCCTAACTTCTAATTGTACCTTTTGTTCCTTCTAGTATCACTTTTCATATTCTCTCTTCTATCTTATTATTTCCTCCTCTAGCAAAGCATTTGACTTCCTTTTTTCGCTTTGATCTTTCTGTTTTTGTCTCATGATTCCTGATTCTTTCCCT